TTGGTGGGACACCTTCTCAGGCATGAAGGGCTAGTTAGAGACATATTAGAGTCAAAAACAAGAGTAGAAATAGCAGCAACAATTTTTCCTTATTAACTTAGGGTAATATTAACCGCTATTAAGAGTTTCATAAAACTTTTCTTGATTAAATTGGAAAATTAATATAGATAAGAATTTCATATAAGTATTACTCATATTTTTATCGTTTCTTTACAATATTTGTATACACCATACACTTTTTTATGCTTGTTTATCGGTGATGATTTAAATCGCTAATCATTAAAAAAAAATGAGTGATTAACATTGTAATTTAATCAGCTTTAACGACAGCATAACAAATAATTTTTGTTTCGTTCATTGTGCATCTATTGCACAGTAGCTTTCGAATGACATAACTTTCATCCTCTCCTATTATAATAAATGCCGAAAAATCGCACCAGAAGTTTCGACATTGACGTATTAATAAAAAATACAACGTGTAATTATACAACACGCTACTGAAGTGAAACTTCTTCAAACACATAAACGTTTGTAATATCTACGAAAATATTCATTTAAATTACATGCTGTAAAGGGCCATATTGATCTACATTAAATGCACAATGCATTTAAAAGTACTTAATTGGATAAGGATTAATGCTGTATTGCTTAAAATCGCTTCTTAAATAAGCCATTATTTCTCGTAAAAAGTAAAGGATAAAAACTGGTTATTGTGGGTTATCCCTAAGAGATCGCGGACTTTTTTGTAAACCTTTTTAAGGTGTACAATACTGTAGTATATTATTTTGATCAATCTCGCAGGGTTCAGCCAGCGTTTGCAATGTAAGCGCAAAAAAATGTGTTTATTTCCGACATCACATTACAAACCTCGAAAATTATCAGTGTTTCTCTTCAAAATTATGCATGTATTATACATATAAACCTTCTTCTTGAGTTACTCCATCTATTTAAAAAAAACGCATTAAAATCCGTTGCGTAGTTTTAAAAATCTAAGCATACATGGGGGCAGACGGCGGGGGAAATGCGTTGCATGATTTCGTTACATAGCAACTCGCATGAAACGAACTTACCCTACCGTGCGTAAAGAAGTTTCACTTTAAAAATAGATAGCTCTTCTTTTATTAAACTCTATGAAATATCTTTAAAATTGTTGGTTTTTCTGCCAGGTATTTCTAATTTTATGTTATTGATGAGCTTCTACGATATTATATGATGTGCTGAAACGAGTTCGAGCAAAACTAAGAGAAAGGTTTTTTAAAATATTAATTGCTTGCATTTAGCCTTCAAACTAATTAAAGACTGTACGAGCATCGAACGTGAGTAACTGTGGTGAACAGGAAACAGATATGGTCATTAAAACACGTCGAATAGCCGCATCACAATATTGTTAATGTCTACAAAAAATATTAATCGGTAGTTAATAAGATTATTTTTGTCTATAGCACGTCGGTAAACGGTTTTCTCGACCGTGCTGTCCTGGCGTTAAAAAACTAATAAAAACGTGTTAATAACAATTCTATTTAAAGAATTAGGTATAATTTCACTCGTGTGAATTCCCGATTTAAATGAAAAGAAANAATTATGCTCGCAAAATATAAAGACGTCTCTATCATTTGTTCTTTTATATCAGAGCCGGGCATACTCGACTCTTTTGACTCCCGAGTGCTCCTCAGGTATAGCCAAGGAGTTCCTCATTGCTCCTGCTCCTGCGAGTGAGATGGTTCTTTCCTTTTCTTATCCCTTCCATTTTGTAGGTGAGTCCCCTCTTCCATAGCCGAACCCACTAGTGTTGCGAAAGTAGTCCGGCTTGTCTGCGGGACGATTATTAGAAAATTTTCGTAGGTATTATTTAAGTTACGAGAGAGGCTTCGCTCGTCTACGGGATGAAGGGGCTTGATATAGGAGTGCAAGGAAGAAGAAAAAGAGAAAGCAATATGGTTCATTACTGCTTACTCTCTTGTACTCATTGAAGAGTATAGAGTAACCCAAACTAACCTCAGGTAGCGGCTCCTACGAAGTTAATGTTTGCCCGGCTCTGTTTTATATATTACATTGTTGTAAACTATTTAAGAGGAACGGTAGGAGAACATCAGATATGGGCATAATTAAAAAGCAGGAATAATTTCACTGTATTATATTCACTATAATATGAATTTAATTTATACTTCAGTCTAAATAACACGTGGCCCTATGCTAACACCAAAAATTGAAAAAGTAAAATTCACTGTATTTCGTTTACTACAAAATAAATTTAACCTATACTTTACCCTCAGCAACATGTGGTGGTTATGCGATTAAAATTGTAGCTTATATGAAACGTTTGGAAATTTGACATAGCGCCATCTATTGAATATTGCGATCATAAAGTGAGATGTACGCTATCCTATCTTTCAAGTTGGATCAAACTGCACACGGTGTACAAATTTGATTAAAATCGGTGAAGTAGTTTAGGAGTCCATCGCGGACAAACAACGTGACACGTAATTTATATATATTAAAATGTTGGGCGCGGAGATCGTGATAAAC